TATCAATGAATAGTACATTTAGCTTCCAATAGTTTCATAGTGGTCTTGATGTGATTTAGGCCTCAATTTAATATCGTTTGATATGCTTTTTAAACGATTTTATATGTTTAAATACACCTATACAATTATTTAAAGGGACACTATAGGCAACAGGCCACAACATCTCATTGAAGTGATCTGAGTGCTGTCCCCCTGTCCCTTTTAGTCCTGCAATGTAAATCATTGCAGTTTTTTATAAACTGCAATAATTACATAAGCCTAGAAACACCTCTGGGATATCTTCTCTAGATATTAGGTAATGGGAGATATTAAGGAAGGGGAAGGTTGGCAAGGGGGGAGATATTCAGGAAGGGAGAGGTTGGCAAGGGGGGGAGATATTGTTGAAGGGGGAGTTGGCAAAGGGGGAGATATTCAGGAAGAAGGAGATTGGCAAGGTCCAGTCAGATATGCAAGAACCTACCCAAATACGCAAACCATACCACAAAGATACAACCCGTAAGTTACAGTTCAAGGTTCATTTTGGCATCTACATTACACGACCACTAGAATAATCAGTTCGAAATTCAGTTCAAAAGTAAACAAACTAGGGTGCTAAGCTAGGAATACCAGTAATACACGACAATATGCTCATTTACGCAAACCAACGTAGTACTACAACCACATGCACACTTAGCCAAGAATCCATATGATATAGTAAGCACAACAGGTTACAGGAGCCTAATACAAATTTGCATAACACATAAACGTACAAGAACAACTATCACGGGTTAACTTCAAACGTTGGCACACAGCTAAAAGAAAAGTCATATATACAAACAAACCACTATCCAGGTACACATCATTACTTGGTATAATACAGTCACAACTAACTATCAGAAAATTAAGCCTCAGCTTCATTTCTTTTCCTTAGTCGGTTAATGCCAGAAGCAACATTTCCAACTTACAACCCCTTAAGATGAATCGGAATAACCAGGTATGTATTACTGTTAACATTATTAATCGCTTAATCATACATGGTGATGTTACTAACCAACCACAGTCTTGCTTATCAACAGGTGGTTATACAAATATAGTCAGACAGTCAGTTAAGTAATAAGACCCATCAAAAGGCAACAGGTACTCCTTTTCCTTCATACCTTTTACCCATACATCATTAACTGGCATGTAGGGAACCAGAACGACACTGTACACAGGGAAATACTTCAGAGCTTCTGCGAGACCAATACCCATCCTCACACAGAGGGATTTTTCGCCCATCGGCCCAAATCATAGCTAGAGTCTCGCTACACTCTGCTGAGAGGTTTAGTATGGGCGTTACCTTCCTTACCCTCTTTAACCATCTTATCGAGTTCCTCAGAGGCTTACACTCCACCATTGTTTCATGGTACAGCAAAGGGCCAAATCATAGACAGCACCTCTACCAGCCACTAGGCAATTAGCATGGCCTCACATCCCACGTAAGAGACACTAGTTAATGTACCTCACAAACTACCGTATCATTATACTTCTTATTTTAATTTCATTATAGCATGTCTCATGTGTCAAACTAAGGAGAGGACTTCTCTCTACCCAGCATGCCATGCAGACCACCCACACCAACCACTGCCCCTACTCCAGGCAAAAACCAAGACACTTCAAGCCCCTGTTCCTTGAGGTCATGGACAATCCCAAACATCGCCTCAGAACTAAGGCATAGGGGATACCATACCCTGCCACCGCCAGAAAAGCATAACTATATAGACTCATGATGTCCAGTTCAGATAATCCACAACCAGGGACCAGTACATAAGACAATATTAATGACACTCTAACAGGTGTACAGGCCATGATGACTTTGATTCTGTCATCCATAAATAATTTGAATCAAAGAATGGAGAAGTTGGAATCTTCAACACCTACCGGAGTTTCTAAGATATCCTTCCCACACTAACCACCAACCAAACTATCCCTCAGGGCAATATCACAGGTACACCGACTGCACAGAGTTCCACAACACATATTATCACACATGGTCCTTCCCAACATCAAGACAGACATATTGATGGGCGAGGACATAAACCTAATGTCCTTATTGATAGCGTCACAAGAAAAAAATAAAACATACAACTACGGTGACCTTTCAGTGGTGCTCAAAGCAAAATACTTCATACTAGCATTTGGGTGGTACAGAAACGTGATATGCTTCAATTTTTCCAACGCAGAGAGGAACTGAACTTGTACATGCACTAATTGGTAGATCTGGGGAACAAGTACGGTGGTACCAATTTTTATGGTTACCACAAATCATTTTCAGCCAAGGCAGCAGCAACCTTTGTGCAGTTTAACATCAGGATAAATTGCAGTCACATGTACACTGAGTTGTTCTGTCACCAATTTGCTGGGTTAGTACCACTGGCTTGTGTAATTTGCTCTTCAAACTCTCATTCTACCAATTTGTTCTCCAACGAGCCCAGTTTACCCAGCACCAGCTACGCCACCACTAGCACAAGTAGATACAAATAGAAAGGATTAAAAGACAAATTGGGAAGACCAATAATATTTTTGGGTAGGCACAGATATGCAACAACTTCAACGCAGGGGGTTCCAGTTTCAGCACCTGCAGGTTGTTGCATGTCTGCTTTGTTACCGAGCCCATGCCAAGACTACATGCCCAAACCATCTCTTTCCCAAGAAATGACTAACCAAAGTACAGGTTGACACGCTGGCTTTTTTCCTCAACTTCTATCTGATTAAAGCCTCAAATTAATATGTTTAATTATGCTTTATAATGATTAAAAATATTTGAATAAACTTTTTAAAATATATAAAATGACTATTATATAAAAATATAAAAATCTTGAAATATTTTTCATAAAATTAAATCATTTTAAAAAGCTTATAAAAAAAATCTGATATCATGTGCAAAACCTATCCAAAAATATTAAATCGAGACCTAAGTGTTTAAACACTTTAGTAAACCATGATGTGTGGCTGAAGGACATGTAGCAATTGAACGTTAACTTTAATCTATGACAACTACTCCTCACCATCATATTAATGCAGAGATGCTTATCATGATGTCAGAACTATGCACATACATTTTGTCTTTGGAATGGCTTAAGTTAAATATTGCACAAAATGCCCATATTTTCTGAGATGCTTCATCTAAACGTGAGTGCTTTGTCAAAATGTCATGTGATGGAGGTTTCATGGTCAGTGAGGCTCACTTAAGCCTCAGTGCACATACTATTAAAATATTTCAGGTATGAAGTTAACATTTCTGCAAACATGTTTTCTGTTCTTCGGTTATCACGATGATTGATACTGAACATCTTGTAGCAGAAACTCATTCTAAGCTATTGGAAAATGTGCAAAAGGTGGCACAGTCAAGTGTGAAGATCATAAAAAGAGAAAGGTCATTTTACAATTTAGATTTACTATATATCCATTTTGTCTTTTGCAATAAGCTTGGGTGCAGTGAGCACAGCTCTGTCCTACTTCATAAGTGGAGTCATTTTGAGATAGTTACGATGTTAGAGTAGACATCAGCTGCTGAGCATTTTATTAGCAATGTATCTATATAAAACAAACACAATTACCATTTCAACTAATCCTGATTACATCTTGACATTAAGCTATCCTCGCTTTAAATATGTTGAAATATTCTGACTGCTGAAAATGGAAAATAACATAATATTTCAAAATTAAATTGTTTTTCTTGTATTTGAGTGAAGTACGGAATTGATTGTACTGTGTAACATTAAATACTCATTCTATTTACAGTTTATATTAGAATTTGCATAAGTCTAAATAAATAAATAGATTTTATGGTATATCCACTTTCCTAAAAATGTTTTCGTTCTTCTGGGCTTGCTTGCCAGAAGGCAAACAATAGAACCGACGCTGGCATGCATTATCAAATAGATGATGACTATGTAGGAAAGAAGGTCAAACATTGTCATCACTTTAAGTTGACAATGTGTATGCACAGACTTGAATTAAATTGAGGTCAAACAATCTGAGATCAAGGCCACTTGAAAACAGGAGCAAGATCAGTAAAAGAAGACCACAAATAGGGATAACAGAGCTCATGATAGTGCAGAAGCAGAGTCAAGGTCAAATGCAAGCTAATCATTGAAATTAACGGTATATTAATGGTGAAAAACAACCGATTAACATTTAAAATTGATCAAAGGCAGAATGCCTCCACATTTCACGTCACAATTGTGTGATATCAGAAGATGGAATTGTGTAGAAGCTTGTTGTCTTTGTGTTTCATGGTGGTTGAATTCAAGTTACAGATTCAAAACAAGGCTTGGACCTAAGTAAATGAAAGGAATGGAAATAGTCACTATATCAAATATAATTTAGCCCCTGTAGTCAGTATATGGAGTGTAGCTAGGTGAACAGTTCTTGTGCAGGTTCTCAAAATAGTCTAAAACCCACACTGCCCAGCCAATATACCTACTCCAAAATAACACACCGGGTATAACTCAAATGTACTTTAACCATCAAAAATGTTTTACTGTTACTTTCTTTTCAATTTTATTATGTAGTTTATATATAAATAAAGATTTTTGTTGTTTATGTTTATATTCATGTAGTATGTTTGGTTTGTACTCTCCATAACAAAAGTGAACATCTAAATTAATTCAAATGTCTTTTGGAAGATGGTCACAGATTCCAAAATCTGTAGGACATAAAACAGCTATGTATATTCAACTTCTACAGTGTTTATATGTTATGTGCAGGTGGATGTATAGTATACCTTAACAAAAACAACAAAAAACAAGTTGCAGGGTTAAAAACTATGGGGACATGGCATGCAGATCACTTCAGATGAAATGGTCTCTGTGCTTATACTGTCCCCTTAAAGATCAGGATTATGTTATACAGAGTCAGGTTGCTGGTCCTGTGACATGAAATACATTATATTTATGTATCGACTTAGGGGGAGGGGTGCAGAGCAACCAGGGTAACAGCTAGGATGGGGTGCATTATTGGCTGTCAACCTGCACTTGTCACAGCAGCACAGGGATGACAGATAGCTCACAGACTGTGTGATACTCGGCTGAATGGCCCATCACAGCAAAGGGTGTCAGTGAGTCCACCGCATGGCCACAGCAGCAGCTGCTGTTCAGAATACATTCAGCCTGAGTCGCATCACTGTGCTCTTGCTCCTGACTGCCATCCAACTCACGTAGTGTATGAATGGAGATGGCCGTGGTAGGCAGGATCAGTAGAGGCCTCTCACTGGTTGGCTCTTTGTGGGGAGCACTAGACAATGACAGGGGGAGGAAGGACTGGAGATTCCAACCAGTGCCTGGCCTCCATTTTATGTTTTATATACTCTATATTAACCTAACTAATGTGATTTATTAGTAGTATTTAAAATAAAAATAACAATATATTGGGCAAGACTGTCCGCAGTGCCCATCCCATCACACACATTGTTACAGTCAGGGCAAGTCCCCCAGCACGAGGGAGTGGTTAATCCATTCCTAGTGCTGTTTTGCTGCCAATCTGCTGCCAATGCCAGTATAAAACCTCATCATCCATTCCATCCAAAGCCAGTAAGTATTTGGGAAATGAGTCCAAAAATGTTGCATGCCTAAAGTTTAGATTGAATAACGGAATACATATTAATAATTGTGTGTATGAGACTGTGTACCTATATATGAATGTGTGTGTGTGTTTATACGAGTATATATGTATATAAATATGTGTTTATGTATAAGAATATGTTTGTGTATATTTGTCTGTGTGTTCGATTATATGAGTCTGTGTGTATCTATAGCAATGTATGTGTCTGTGTATGTATCCATGTGTGTATATGAATATAGGTATGTGTGAATATGAATGTGTATATCTATGTATGTACGTGTAATTTACTTAACAAAAAATATTCTATGGTTGGGGTGGTACCAATACTTTTCCCCCACAGGTGACATGTAATCTAGGTCAGACAGTATTGCATTTATTAAAGTTGTATCATTTTATTTTGTAAGAACTACTTTTTATTTAAGATCTCCATTTATTTTGCATTCATTTTTGAAAACATACATTAGCTCCAACAAACTTCCAAGTCATCTCAGCATTTCTTGTCTCTATATACTCTTTTATCCTAGTGGATTAATTGACTAATTGATCCTATCTATTATTTTAGTACATGCAACTGGCTCTGACACTTAATATGGAATTTAGATGCTATCTTTCATGTGATGGTGAATGAGCAAGTCCAATCAGTGTGTTTAATAAAAAAAGCTTGGAGGAAGCATGTCAGTCACCGTGAATTATAGAAATTGACACTGTAATATGAAAAACAACAATTCTTAAAAATTGCTGGATACAAATATGTCAAACAGTACTAAAGAAGATGATAATGGGACCATTCTCCACAACCTAAGTCTTAATGAATGACAGAGAAGAAGTGAGAGATAAGTCCTAAAGTCTCTCATTTATACTGGCAAGGGTGCAAATATATAGGGGGTGATTTATCAAGGTGAAAAAAGATGTTATTCTGAGGTAACTTGATAAATAAGGATAAATTACTAATCTTGTGAAAAGTGAAAATTTGCCATTTTTCGGTAGTGACACGATTCGGAAATTTTTTTACTTCTGAAGAAGTTTGGTTGAAAATTTTTTGGATGAATTTGAAAAAATTTGGATCAATCTGAAAATTGCCAGGGAAGGTTACAGGGACAAATATAGGGCTTTCCCATTTCAGTTTGCCAGATTGGTTTGCTGAGTCTATATTAACTTTGAGACCATATGGCAGCCAAAGAATGAGAATTACCCCCATCATGGCATACCATTCACAAAGTAGACAACCCAGGGTATTCAGAATTGGGTAAGTCCAATCTTTTGTAGTAGCCACTTGGTCACAAATGCTAGACAAAGTTAGTTTTCATTTTTTTTTTGCACTTTTCACACAAAAATTGCACTTTCACTGATGATATCATCATCATTACAAGATTTAGTGTTTTAAAACACTCATATTTGTATTCAGCGAAGTCTCACGAGTACAACAGTACCCCACATGTACAGGTTTTATTGTGTTATGTAAAGTTACAGGGTTAAATATAGTAAATTAAATTCAATGGACTTTCTGCCTAGGTTGTCAGGCAGGTTCCTGGAGGGCCGTAAAAGAAGCAGGGGTACTGACTGTCATCTGAGGCAGTCCCCCCAGACTGAGATCACCGTGGATCGCCAGTCTAGGTAAGTGTGCAGGGACAGGGGAGCTCAGGATTGTTAGGGTGTACTATGCCGCCCTAACAGCGTTTAGGCTCACTAAATGTGGGTTGGCATAGTACGTCCTAACGGCATTAAGGGGTTAATTATGGCACATAAAAACAATGATAGTGGTTTGGATAAATATATATTTTGTTTCCGACGTACCTACAGGGATGACTTTGTAAAAAGAATGATTGTCTGTCACATAAAACAAACACGAAATACAAGATCCTTTTACATTGTTTCTTTAAACATATTTGGGCATAATACAAAATAAAAAACAACAACTATTTTTAAATAAAGTGCAATAATCTAGGCGCACTGTAGCATCTTACTAAAAGAATAAACAGGAACAAATAATGCCATTCGCCTTGTTACTGGAATTAACTTAACGTTTTATCTTATGCCTTCTTTCAATGCATTGTTTATGGAGTTGTAACTTTACACACTGAAAATAATCTAGGCTGTTTACTTTCTCTAATAAACAGGTATCTTGTGCATCTAACATACCGAGTAGAACATTTAATGTTAATCCCACTGCATATATTTGTAATTGTAATGAAATAGAAAATGGAACTTACAGTCTGCATTTCTTTCACAAGCACAGAAATCCTAATTATTTGATTCTAAGCTATTTCTAATTTTCCACCAGCCAATTCTCCTTGATAATTTTCAGTATTATAACAATTTATGCCATTTGAGACTACCCATGCATAAAATTACAGCCTTATTGTTGAAATGGAAGAGACACAGCATAGATATCTAAGCAGGGTTTAATCACTTCACTTTATATCAAATTGTACTCCTGAAAGGCACTATCATTTTTATTAGAACGAAGTAAGCTAATGGAAGGCAATCTGAGTTAATGTTAATAAAATTGTTAATACTATATCTTATAATGCACAATCTTGCATAAAATGTCTGTTATTTACTTAGAATATTCAAAGATACAGAATGGCTAGCTCAGTCGCATAGGGTATTGTCTATAACTAGTGCAGAGTTGCTTGCGAGTGTCTCTACATGATAGGAGCACAAACTATGTTGTAGATGAACATGTAGCTAATTTTGTCCATCGTCCCAATTTTCACAATTTTAAATATATCCTTAAAGAATGTGTCGTTGTTCAGAATGATAATGTACATCACTTTTTTGTTAGAAAAGGTCAACAAAGACATCTGCAAATGATTTTATAATGATTATTGTTCTTGTTATGAAGAGATTGTAATGATCAAGCAGAATAATCATTAAAAAGTTGACAATTGTCAAATTGTTCCAGACCCCTTCTCCTACTATAATACATATGTGAAAAAGGAAAACAATTGATTTTCACTGAGAGTTTTAGGTGACAAAATATATGTTCATAATTTTCCTTTTTTTTGTTAACTCACTAATTTGCTTATATGATGAATTGTCCACACTTCAAAAATCTGTTGAGAGTTGTCTGTTATAGTCAACACAAATCCTTTCCATTTTAATAATTTGCTATTTCCATGTGTACTATATAAATATGAATTTAAAAAAACAGTTCAAGCACCATATCCACTTCAGCAGCTCTGATTGGTATTGGCCAGGAGTACACTGGTGCCCATTTATTATAAGTAGTGAAAATGTTACCAAACAAAACAACTGGGACCTGCCAACCACCACTTCTGTCAGTGTTTAGCTCCCTGGCTAAGAGCAATCAGCTGACGGTCTCAGTCATTAAGTTGGTACAAGTCTTACCTGACGTACTGATTGTGTGAGCAGGATCTTCAGAGGAAATCTATATTCAGAGTTAGCTAGACTACTCTTATTGGGGTCTCTTTACAATGCAAGACCAATGATTTTTGAGAAGATCAAAAAGAAGAAGAATTTTAGTTTTACAAAAAGAAGCAGAGTGACCTTGCATTGGAAAATAGACTTCTTCTCACTCAGTTTCATGGTTTTTAGGATAAATGGAGTCTTTTTTTTTATAACCAAGGATTCAACACCTGGACGATAAGGTTGTGACAGAAATGTTGCCATCAGTTTTTGGCTGGTAATCATTTCGTGGGTGTTTGTAACCATATGTTGCAAGGTTGGCTGGGTAGCCAACTTCAGGCAAAAATAAGATCCAGGAGATCTGGACCTGAATCAAGACTACCAATACAAATGATATTATTGAGACTGATTCTCAAGACTATAGTTCTCTTTCAAGAACTTCATGAGGAAACTGGATCCAATAAGCAGGATATTTAATATTCTGCCAAGATCCAAGAATAGAAGCAAAAAAAAAATGCAAACTGCAATATTATCTTCATTGAATAGCTATAAGGATAATCTCAAACATACTGGAAGATGTTCTCAGCAGAACTGATCGACCAGAGAACTTCCAGTAACTGATATTGTTTTGGGTAATGCCACAAACACATTGAATTGCCTCTGCCAAGAATACTCAGGTTCATGATTAAATACTATTGGATGAAATGTATTAGATAAGTGCATGCATTTCTATTGTACTATACTGGATAACTCTTAAATAATGTCAGTTTATGATGTCTTCTCAACTCATATTCCTCATCTGAGTGCTAGGAGCTCTTCACTTTTTCTCCATTCAAGAACACAGAGGTAGCCAAATTTATTTCAATGCATTTTATCCATGAAACTCAGCTAATGAACACTACCCTTTCAGTGGAAATTCCATAAGGGTTATGTTGTTTTCATCTCTCCCACTGATCCCAGTACACCTAGAAGAATATGTAAATAAGAAAGCAGAATTAATTGAAATTGTTCCATTATGACTCACATGACCTTGGTTTCCCAATATTTGGTTGTGTTGGATATTCTGTTTATGAACTTGCTCTCCATCAAAATATTCTAATTTAGAGAATCCACAACTAATGGCCTGGATGTTGGGGTGTAAAGTTTAAAGCAGAAATCACTTTCTACAACAGTGATATTTGGATTCCTTAGGTCTACAAAACATTCTATTTATCCTACCTTGTATCAATTCTGGTTGGCCTGGAGTGCCCAAACGTTAACTCCCCAGCTCTTGCAGAAATAAAACTCCCATGATGATCTGGAAC